TCGAATTTAGTGACTGCTCTTCCATACCATTGAGGTACCGCAAAATCTTGTAGATTTTGCGACATGTATCAGTGTGATTGTGCCCGTAAACTGGCTTCTCTCATGTTAAATTACTAACATTAAAATAAAATGTTTATTTTACTTATGTTCGAGCGAACCCCTAGGACGCTGGCGCTGTGCAATTGCTACACAGTAATGAAGAAGCTGATAATACTTGTGCCTGAGCTCTCATTGAAGGTTGTCGGAGATCCCAATCAACTTGCGAAAAAGGCAAAGGAAGCACTCTCTGTGGCACCGCTGTCTTAAATCACAGGATTGCCTGTGATCTCGCAAGAGATGTCAGTTATGTCGGGTGTGACCTTTCGGGCCGTAATTCAGCCTTTGATTCTGTCCCAAGGCCTCTTCTTCTAGACAAGTTAGCTGGGACATATCCTGAGTTGTAGATAACCAGTTAGCTGTATTCCTATTTCCCGGAAGAGAAACAGCGATCTATCCCACTGTTTATTGGGGCTAGTGTCACCCGAAATTCCATCGTTTCCCACCGCCTTTTCCCTTCCTGTCTTGCATGATATAAGATCTTTACACAGAATTGGTTTTATCAATGCACTGAGGAGATGGCAGTTTCCAGATGTGTCTCCTCTTAGTCAGATTGTTCCTGACTGAACAATTTCATATCTACCACTGGACGGTGGTCCTCCATGAATAGCCGTGTGCCTAATACTTCAGGATGTCTGACCATAAACTAGTTTCGAACATGAACACAACTTGTATGAACTGCCTAGGCTTTATGCGTCCGGTTACTTTGATGGTTGTGTGTCAGAAGACGTTACAATTGTGATCTATGTTGGCACATTTTTAATTGGACCCCTCTCGGTCCTCCTTCGACAGGAATCTTTCGACTAACTAGCTATATTAAGGAGCCAAGTGCATCTGGTACTACTCACACTCCTCTCTTGTGGTCTACTGGCCCTTGAATCATACTTGTTCTCGATTATCCTTCTCCTTTATGCACTCCTGGGTTCCTGAAAAAAGGCCATATTGTGTTGCCTGGCACTTTGAAGATTATCAGCAGAACTAGTGCTGTACCTCTAAGCCTTCTGTTATTAGCTGTTGTGGACAATCGCCTTAGCTCACGTAAACATTTGGCAGCAGTTGTTTCATCAGGTGACCGGCATCCTTCCCACGGAAAGCCTCTTACATGCCGGTCATCAGGCAAGACCAGGAGCAAGTATATGGGACTTTATGCACATTCTACCAAGTAAGGAAACTTTACTACACCTTAATCGGTCCATGTCTTGTGCGGGAAAGGAAATGTTGGGGACTGGCAGACTGATCAAAGCCCGTTTGGCTTTTCGTTGAGTGAACTAACTGATGACCACACAGCTTACTGCTGTCTATGTAATACCATGTTAACTGCTAGTGTAGTTGCTTACGTACGTGGACTTTGTCTGCTAAAGAAATGTGCGGACGGAGTACATATTCTTGCACATTTATATATTCCATCCTTTCCATTTTACCGCCTTTACACATAAGTGGTTTCCGTCCAGCTGATGCTATGCGACCGCGTGAGAATTCCGCATGTTATTCTCGAAACACCCCTAAGAAAAACTACTATCATTGCCGGCTTCGGGAATTTGAAGATAAATTAATTTTTTTCTCGATTTCAAGGTTTAAACCACTTCTTTCAGACCAAGATACCAATTGTGACAGTTCACTGTGAGCCGTTCTGAACCGTTAGTGTAGTCTATTACTCACCGTGTCTTGACGTCTTCCGTGAGTGGCAGGATGAGGAAGAAGGCACCTGGGAGTAAATCACTTATGAACTGCAGATAAAGGAATGGGGAAAGATGACTGCCTGAGATATCTTGAATTTGAAAACCTTCCATCGGTCCTGCTGACTCTGCCGCGGAAGTTCCTACCGTTTAAGTACTTCCTGAACCAAAAGATTGGGGACTCACTGGATTCCGCCTCCAAAAGTTTTGTGTTGCTCGAAACATGGCAAAAAACCTTTGCTAGATCGATTGGTTTGAGATGATAGATCACGGGAGCGAAAGGATTTCACACCACCTGCTTTCATGTCCGGCGGCAGCGCATCACAGCTTTCACCCAGTCTGAACTGTTATGAAAACGAAGATCAGGGAACTTATGCCAACCAATAAGTAAATCAAAACGTTTTTGGCTCAGTGCTTACGCACATCCTGAATGTCCATCGGACCAGTGTTTGCGTGGCCCTGATGGGGCTATCCAAATCCCCTCTCCGATGAAAAATTTCTGAGGCCTAGCTGTTCGTGTGAAACCCACGTTAAAGGATGCGCACGCAAAACGTTGGACTTTTAGAAAAAGTCTGAATACTGAGCAAGGTGATGGAATGAGCGTTGTGGATATGCTACATGATAAATGCGTAATTTACTCGTCTTCCTTATTCCGGAGTGTGCAAGTCAAGCACTACCAACCCTTCTTCGTACCCTGTGGTTATTGGTCCCAGAGGGATTCGGTCAACTACATACCGCTTTTTCCCCACAGGCCCCCAGACCATCGACGGTCTCCCTTGGCAATACTTGTCTATCCAAACGCATCCCCTCGAAATGTCACCAGTTAGTGCAGCAAAACAGCTGGACGTTAGGGTTAGGCCCGACAGACCGTGGTTAGTGAGAAACTCCTTTGCAATGGCTGGAAAACTCACTCTCAAAAACGGTGCTGCTAAGTCATCATACAGAAGATTCCCGAGTGTTCGGGCACTGATGCCGCTGAACTTGTCTATGATATAAACCACTGGAGGCATTTAGGAAAAGACCAAAGCTAACGTAGTGGCGGAAAAATTGACTGTTTTCCGAGGCCGCCTCACCTTTCTATCACTCGCGCCCCAGGCTCCTCCGGCTAACTCTCGATTCTCCGGACATGATCAGAATTATTATGGAGTCATGGTGTAATAAATCGGATGCCCTCTCTGAGGATATTAAAACAATAAAGTGCAAACCCAGTGGGCAAAGGCAGACTGAGAGAAGAACGAAACGCTTGCCATTACAGGCCCACATCTTAAGATCGAACGGTTAGACGATGAGTAAAGGTTTTTGTCGACCTCGTCCCGGACAGAAGGATTCCTTACTAGTTCCCATTCAAGCCGATTAATGGACGTAGTAGTCCTTGTTCAGCTCCCCTGTCGGTAAAAAGCTTGTCAAGGCCGAGTATTTCAAGGCTGGTAACACATTCTTCACCCACTCTGCTAGGAGGACATTTGGTTTCAAAGTCTCATTCGCGCACGACTAAGCGGCATTGCACTTCACAAGCAGACAACTAGGTGCCCGCAATCCGGAACCCTTCATGAAGCCGTGCAAGACCCACATAGACCCCATTCAGAGGTTCACAAAGTCATCGCACCAACATACCTGAAAAGAGGTGTGAACCTCATGGGGGAAGTTCAGAGGTGGGCAACGAAAGATGTCGTGGGAATAAGACAAAAAACCCGCCAGGATGGGCTGCAAGATCTAGAGCTCGACTTTCTTAGCTACCGTAGACTGTTTGGCGACTTGATAACGGCTCATCAAACACTAAATAATCCAAGTCATCCGAGCAGTGGAATCCTATTGAACGGCCACCGCGCCGATCTTCGCGGTAACCCAAGGAGAATCGCTCAACAAAGATCAAAAACCCGTGTACGTTCACAATCCTCTCTGTGAGTTTGTGGCCACTGGAACGCAATAATAAATGAATAAATAGATATTTCATTCTAAAATTAACAGCAGCATGAGAGAAGCCAGCCTACAGGTGTCATCAAGCCGATAATAGTGGAGAAATCTCCATTGGTTGAGCTGTCCTGAATGATACAGAAGGTATCGCATCAAGGCTTACCATGATATCAATAGTTACTGCGGGTTACGAAAAGAACAGAAAAATACCACTTCACAGCACATACGGATTGGTTATGGGTTTCGGTCGTTTCCACTCAGCATTCTTTTTTCACAGTAAAGTGGTGCCAAAATCGTACAATATCCGACGTTTGCGTTACATGTGACCGAGATGGTTAACCTGATGTGATTCCGTGTATCTTCTGATAAACTTTTATTTTAACATCAATTATTCACGTGTTTATGGTACCATCGGCCAACGAAATCTGGCTTCATCCAGTTCGGGTAGAAGCAAGTATTAACATGGCCGCATAACCCACACGAATATATAAATCCGTCCATTTCCCACTCGTAGTGTGACCTTACACAGCAATACGGATGTAAGCCATCAGAATAAGCTGATGCGGTACAAAGAGAAAAACATTTGAAGGGCTATTATCCAGTAGTGATGGAGTTTTACACGTAGAATTCACTTTGAAGCATACGGTATTATCTAGGAGGTATATTGACTGTTAATTGTCTTCTAGCAGATGGAGTCAAATGAGATAAAGTACTGGAGAAGTTTGTTGTGTGGTTTTTTTGCAAACATGTCTCACTTTGAGTCACTAGGGGAGTTTATTTCTTAGATTTAGATATTTTTCCAGAAGCCTTAGACCAGCTATTGCTGCTACTCCGCATGTTGACAGCTTCAAGAGGTTGGACAGTTGGGCAGTGGCTCATGATTTGCCCTCATCTAGGGTTAGCATCTTTTTAAAACCAGTCCGATGAACTCTTGTGTGGCACGACACTTGAGGAACCCATCTACACCACAGTTCTTGAAAAAAACACAATCCCAACAAATTAAATGAACACCCAACCGCGTCGGGCCAACCAGAGTTACGGAAACGAGTGGGTAGACCCTGTGGATCGAAATGCATCAAGGACTTGAGATCGTTCCCCAAACCTAGAAGCGAGAGTGAAGAAATCAAATGGTTTACGCCAGCACGTAAAAAGATATTAGATATTGGATATCCTTTCAGGTTCTTCGGAACTAGGAAACCTAGGACGTGTTCCAGTAAAACAGATATAGAACAAAAGAAACCATCGCCCACTAATTCTACAATACGAAGTCTGAAGTTTGAGGGCTTGTTATGTTGCCTACAAGGTTGCCAGACTATTTCTAGCGGAACTACAAGTTCAAGGACACCATGTACGGTTTGTTTTTATTGTCGTTATTCTGTATCTGTGACCATTGACCACTTTTGTGAAGGCATTTTATGCTTTCCGGCAGTTCATTCAGATTTTTCAGACAGTTTATTATTATTATTTGTCGAAGCTATCTATACCCAGTAAAGTATTGTAGAAGCTTCTGCAAAGTAACCTAAATTACTTTGATGTTGTCGTACGTTCGAAAAAGAGCTCTAGCAGCATTTTTCTGAAATAAAATGAGGTTGTTCATGTAGCTAAAGAGTTGAGCCAACAGACAGCTTGCGAGGAATAGCCACTGAAACTGACATTATGGGGAAAATAAATAATGCTTTAGAAGGTGGAATGATGAGAACAGTGTATTATCTAGTTTTTAGTCGTACAGGTGAAGTAATAAAGTCACATGTACTGGCCTGCTCAACCACAAACTTAGGCTGTTGGTACTGCACTTGTTGTGAAAAACTCCGATGCTTTTGACAGTGAGACAATGTTTTGACATAAAGACACCAATACTGTTTTCTTTACCTGAATAATGGAGTTTAAGAAGCATCATATTTTTTGCGCTTGTAGTTAGGAACCATATCATTACTTGAAAGTATAGAAAATCCCTAAGTTCCAGCCTAGGTACTACATTTTGACTCATCAAGTGTTGTTTCTTACTTAAGTTTGCGCTGGTGCTTGAAAGAGCAATTACCTTGATTGAAATGCAATTCGCAATGCTAGCTGACTTCGAGTTCAGAGTCACGTTTGAGAATTTAGAATAAAAGTCATGTCGTGGTATTGGAGTGCGTACTCAATGAGAAGTCAAATAAGGGTTTCGGAGTCTTTAATAAACCGTTACATGACATTTTTTTGGTCTAAGAAATACCCCATATTCTGTGGTATGATGATAAAATTCTACTCTGATGACAGTTATTGCGATAGTATCTGACTCTAAAGGCGATACCGACGAAGTATGTTATACTGATCACAGCTCTCCAGCCGAACTCACGTAGTAGAGGTTATGGAGAGTTGTCATTCTAAATGACAACAACCAATTGTGTACTCCAGAGACGTCTGTTGTCACCGTTCCTATTTAGTTTTTCTTTAGAATTACTAACAGATAACCTTTGGTACCTCAGACTTCACATGGATTCTCGTACTCCACAGAATGAACCTGGTTGACTTTGAGTACGCAGACAATACCGTCCTAACGGGTAACAACGCTGAAAAAATACAGGGTTCCCCGAATACCCTGCGAAGAAATTTGAGTGGTTTTGCTACACGTTTTATACTTGTCAGAAGTAAGATAATGCCTCAGGACTGGTCTGCAGCTACTCCGGGTTTAGGGATAAGGAGTGAAATGGTGTAGTGTACTGATTACTTCACTTGCTTGAATAGTTTCGTCAGTCCAGATAAATTGATGGCTGACAAAATTTCATCTCAGATACAGAGAAACCGTTGAGCATTTGCCAACATACATCAACTCTGGCAGCAACGCGGTATGGGACTACCTGTCAAAGCAAAAGTATACTGCGTTTCCGTCCACTCTCTGTTGTCGCATAGCGGTGAAAAATGCCAGGGAAAGCAGATATAAAAGGACCACAAAATTTTTGGCGACAAATGCTATTGTAGCACTGCTCATATGTGGTGGAACACCGTGTGAGCAATGTCGAGCTCAAATGAAGGGTACCTGGCAAAAAGGCAAGTCAGTGGACTAGGTTGTTAACCTTCATCAACTGAAGTGGCTGGGACATGTAATGCACATGCCAACTCACCGTCTACCTCAACGTACCATGCTTTCGGAAGTCGGATTAATTTGGAAAAGGGTTCAGAGTGGCGAGACCAGGACGTAATCTCTGTCCATGAAATATCTAACTACTGTATCACTCTTTCTGTTAACTTGTTTTTTTGTTCTGCGGTGTAGTGGGGCAACCCGAAGTGATGTACTTCCGTACCTAACTGTGCATTGGTTTGTCTCTCTTTCTCTGAAGAGTCTACTCTCAAGTTCATAAGGCTAAGCAAGTACTATTGATATACAGCCGGCGTTTTTCAACTAGACGTGCATTCTTATGACTCTGCGATTGGCCCGAACGTGTAGTCTAACTTTCTGTGTTTAGACATTTTTTGTCACCCCTTTATCTAGAAGCACGGACACAGCTATGGAAATGTGACCGTTTCCAAGTATTTTCGAAACACTGCACTAATTTGGTACAATCCACATACTTATACTTTTGAAGAAATATGTGCGCCATAGTTATCCTGCATATTATCACAAAGTTTAACAATATCGTTTTGGGAGTTTTCGACCTTATGTTGTTTGACAAAAGCAAAGTGACCATTGTCTTTTAGTTTGTCGGCTACTTGTACGGATGCTTCGGTAATTTTCCTACTCATACATTGGTTACATATTTGTTGGTGGTTAATAGCGGATTCCAAGACTTTTCCGTTGGAGGTAGCTTCATACTAGTGAGTGTTAGTGTTTCGACTCATTTGATCTTAGCACTGATGATTCAAGCATATGAAGTGATGTGATACTTTAATTATTAGTTGTTTTCACTGATATTTACTCTCTCCAGTATCGTCCAATGAGAAAGTTGTTTGACTGCTGTGATCTGTAATATAACCAGTCATGTTTACTCATTGTCAGTCATTGTTGCAATGTGTGTAAACGTGTTGTTGTAATTATTTTTCACCTCAATGACAAAGTTTTATCAAGTTCCAATTTACAGACCTATAAATTTTTTCACTGCTAAATCTCAAACATCTGCAGACTGTAATAATGGCAGTGCGAGCTGTTTATTTAGCAAACCTTAAAATGACGGAAACAATGCTAATAATAATAATGATGCCAGGTATAAATTCAGTCGAACCCTCAAGTAGGTAGTGCTCTAGAAACAAAACTGCCCAGGCATTTCACGTGTTGCGGACAAAGTGCTTTCCCCACCATCAGGCGACGAAGTTATGACAGCGTAGCTATAAATACATGTATTGTAAACAGACAGACAGATAGACAAATTACCGTAGAACCTCGCATTGGCTCAAGTTGCCACACTTCGTAGTAGTTTACAAAGAGCAGGTGGATAAGAAGACTGATATCAAAGTAGACAAAGTTGTGTGAGGGAATAGACAATCTGAAGATAACGGTTAGTGCAGATGTTCAAGCTTTCTATGTCACAACCACAGCATAGCCTGGTGTAGAAGACCGGATTAAGTTGTTGCGGTGGGTTGTGCTCGAGTCGTGGCTTGATGATTTACTGTATTCTGTTGAAACTAACTTCAGCAAGTTATATATATATATATATATATATATATATATATATATATATATATATATATATATATATATATATATATAACTTGCTGAAGTTAGTTTCAACAGAATACGGTAAATCATGCGAAAAAGAAGAAAACAGAAACGGAGAAAGTACTGCAAATTGAAGCACACTGGCATCAGTGAGCATTAAACCGGAGCGCCTTGCTTTATAAATAGTATACTGTTTCCGTTCAGAAAAATAAAAATCTAAACAGTGTAACCTAGGGCTTAGTATGAGCAATGGCAAGTTTGTTTAAGAAGAGTAGTCTAAGAGCAAAGTCAAATGCAGACGTTTACTTTTAAAAAGGCTATACTAGAATCAATATTATGATGCAATACAGTGGAAGTATTCAAAGTACTTCTGCAGTGTTGATGAGAAAATTGTTTCACAGCTCTTAAAGCTTTCAGTGTAGGTTCAGATACAAGTAGAAGTAGTTTCTTCATCGATTTAAAAAACAAGAGGTTATCGCAATAGATTTGGACTTTATATCTCATTCAGATGGTGACTTAAGTACATGTAAAACTTTGATATCTCTTCGAACAACAAGTATGGTGTATTTTTGGCAAGTGATACTTTGAACATATCTAGAGAAGGATAACGTAAAGTATTCGCATGTTATGTGAATAAAATACTTAAAACGTCATGAGGATATAGTCTTTGGTATTGGTTCAAAGACTTAAGACGTTAAAAAACATCATTTATATTAAACCTGAGAAGACAACTAAAGACACTAGGGAAGATGGGATTGGCTTACCGACGTACAATTGCCTAGTTTAATGCACAGATACCAAAACAGGATTCTTAATTTATTTGTTTTCCAATAGTAGGCTCTTTGATTAACTTGTTCCCATCGGAAATGCGGATCCTGGATTCCACTGCTAGCCACTATCCATCAATACTATAATGAGAACACCGGTAATATCAGGGCATCCGCACAAGAGCCCATATGCCGATAGAGACCGATCAATTCAGTCCATCCAACGACGGTAGAACACAACCAATAGTACTTTTCTTTTCTCTTCGAAGCTTCTTGAGGTGTGGAGAAGAAAGCCTGTCAAACCTCATGAAGCTTGTTTCACCACAGCAGCGAGCATCAGGCCAGAATTTCAGATATCTCAGCAAATAGATCCCAATCTGTTTCTTTTAACATACTCTGCCGAACCGTCCTGTGAATAGTATGTGCTGGATTTCTTGTGTGATTTCCCATACACGTTTTGAGAAACATGTACAGTATAGTAGTCAGAATTTAGCAGTGAAGCTCGTTTACGGGTTTCATACGTTCCATAGTCATTTGGGAACACTAAATCTAGTGTGTTTTCAAGACGAATGGAAAGTTAACGAGATTTTCACTATTCGCTGATAAAAAGCAACTACAGTCACGTGAATGAGTCTCCACAGACTATAGACAAAGAGTTAGCCAGAATAGGAGCGACGAATTCAGTGAGAGTTGATAAGTCGGAGAATCTACAATCAGGCGTGACATAAATGCTTCTAGTGTAAGTATGTTTTAAACCACGCAAATGTTTGAGACGACATTTGTTAGTAATTTAGTTGATTTTGTCATTGGAGAAGTTGACGTGTAAATAATTGGAGGTAGATGCATGTTTACGAATAGATGTAGCTACACCCTCGCCACGCTTCTTGGGAATATATTGATTTCGTCGAAATAACTTGGAACCATTCAGATAAGCTAAATCATTATCATAGAGACTAAAGGACCATGCTACCTTACAGTGTTATTACACGCTTATTACGTTAAATACTTGTAAGTAAGAGTGACTGGAGATGATCAACGTTTTTTCGGTAGAGACCTGCAGTTTGTGCTAAGTTTTTCTGAAGTAGTGAATGTAGATCAAGGTCCGCTCTTCCTATTCTTATTCAACTTTACCATAGACGTACTTATGGAGGTCTCCCTTTGGTCGTCTGACTTTACAGGTATTGACCTTGTCTCAGAAAAATCCTTGGTGAATTTAGAGTACCTAGATGATTTAGTCCTGTTACTTGAAGACACTGACATTATGTAGAGTCTTCCGGACTCATTGAGTGACAATTTGTGAATGTGCGGGATGCGTTTCTCGCCACCGAAATACAAATGGCTGCTTCATAGTTGGTCTTCAGTAGTTCTTTGTTTCACAGTAGAGAGTGAAGTGTCTGAATCTTGGCTTTTAACAACAGAGTGTACTGCACTACTGTCCTCTCTGTTCTACTGTATGGCTGTGAAACATGCCCAATAATGGTAGAGGATATGAGAGTGCTTCAGGTGTTCGACCATGGTTGACTTCGTAGTGTAGACCGTGTGTCGTGGTGTTACCGCGTCAGTAAACTAGAAGTTAGGCGTAGAGTTTTAGGGAAAAGAGAAGTGTCAACCGATGAAGTTGTGAACCTTCATCGACTCAGATGGGTGTGAAATGTGTTCTGCATGCCTAGTCACCGTCTGGCCCGTTGCACAATATTACCTGAATTAGGTTTAGGCTGTAAGAAGGTTAGAGGTGGCCAGACTAAAACACGGCAACAGTGCATGAAGTCTTTGACGCTTGTTCTGAGCTGTATAGGGAAATGTATGGTTTCTGATTGAGATCTGCGTGACGACGGAAACCAGTGGTAGGAGAGTCTTGGTGACATGTCTCGGGATCAACGTCAGTTGCGCATATATATATCCACATATTATCCTTATCTTAATCGTCATACTAAATTCAGTATTCTTTCAGTCGTGCTTGTAATCTTATCATGACTTTTTGCCACTTTGACTGTTTTATTCTACCTTAGTACTTTCTCGCTTGATGTGTTGATATGTAATGTGACAACTTGTGCCAATAGACATTAATGCTGTCGTATATTGTTATTATCTACCAGTCAGTTTGTTATGAACTTGGTGGTATAGGTATAACATGAAGTTTTCGAATAGAAAGCACACTTGTCTACTGGTTACCAGTAGATAACCGCCTGCGTGTTGTGCGACAATGCATAAGGTTGTATGGAGCTGATGAAAATCTTATGAAATGAAATGAGGTGATCTTATTCCGCAAATGGTGTTCGAATTGCGTTATTCAAATTCACTAAGGAGACTAAATGTATGGAAGGATTTGTAGGAGCTAGGAAGAGTAGTGATGCTTGCCAATGCCTATTCATAATGTCTGCCTAAACTCCCACTAACTGCAGTTAAAATGATGCAAAGGATGAATTATATCGAAAGCTATGAGTTTCACTACGAAAAGCAAAGCGTTCAGATATGGTCTTAGTAGTAGCCGAATTCAGCGCTCAAGTGGGAATGTTGAGCTAATGAGGAAGGTATTCTGGATGTTTGAGTAGAGATTTTTCTGCAGAGTCATGACTTAATCGTCACCCCTTTTAGGTACAGCCACTGCCATAAAACATCGTAATCAATGGAGTCGAATGCCATCTTCATGTAGAGAAATACAGCTGTTGCTGCCTATCGATAAGTGTACATATGTTCCAGAACCTTGTGAAGTGTGAGTATCTGGCGATATGCTTGCTGTACGACCTGAATCTTGGAGACTCAGCGGGTCCTCACATAAGGGAATACTAACTTTTGACACATTTGTATCTAGGGTTTCAAGTTAACTCAGTGTATTTACACTTTGGACAGTATAAACAATCTTGACAGCTGAATTTTATTGGATTTCTGTGATGGTTTATATGTGATGACTCTTTCAAATTATCTTATTATTTCATTTCTTATACGCTTCGTAATGGATGTTTCCTCTTGAAACGAACAGTCAGTGTTGAAAAATTTCATCCTCCTAAAATAATATTTGTGTTCAATAGAATATAAGAAAAATATAGGTTTCCTGACTGAATTCCTCGGGATTTTAATAATAAATGCGTGGAGACTACTGTCACACATGCATTCTCTTCTCATCGTCCAAATTTACAACTTTAAGTTGGTTTTCATTAAATTGTTATCTCTCTTTAGCTTCATTTTAAAATTCTATTGTTAAAATTTTTGGTCGTAATGTAGTCAAGTGTAGCCATTGAATTGAATTGGGATGTGTAAAAAAAAGTGTAATGGACTACTTGGGACCTTGGGATTTATTTTAGAATGCTATTACCCCCCCCCCGTTTCTTAGATACTTCTTATCGATCATATTTTCTTGTGATCATATACTTTGGTGCTGTGTTCTGATTTGTGCTAATGTAAAGTTAAATTAACATACAGATTACGTTGAGACTGGATTAAATTTTAACTTGTTTATCCAGTGCAATTTTTAAAAAAACCTATTTATTTTCCTGCATAATATTATAGAGCGAATTTCTCCAAGTCATCTATCAATGACAAATATAGAAAAAAGTACCTCTGGTATGTTAAATCGACTAGTTAATTGTTCTTCATTTGATAAATGTTTAAAGATTCAATCGACTGTCCACATAATGATTATGATGAAGATGTAAAACTATGCTCTATAGAGGCAAAAGCTGCTGTAACTGAAGTCGGATTCGGTGTAAAAGATATATGCCTAGCTTCTGATTCTTTACCGTTCACCGACACACTGGCATATTTGAACTTAACTACACTAGAGGGTGAGAAGATGTGTATCGAAGTCAGTGCAAAAGGATTTTGTCCTGTTGGTTCATCGTGAGTTCCATTTACGTTTACGTATTTTATATATATATATATATATATATATATATATATATATATATATATTATATCCATGCTATCGCAATCAAAGTAAATCCTTTACAAATTTCGTTGTGAACTGGAGAAGTATTTCCGCTTAGGAGGTCAGTTTTAGTTCCAGTTTTCCATCCACTCACGTGGTGACACCACGTGAGTAACTTAGAAGTCAGGTTTTAGGGAGGGGGAAAGGGTAAGTCAGTTGATGAGGTTGTGAACCTTCATCAACTGAGATGGTTGGCTGGGACACATGTTACGTATGCCTAGTCGCCGTCTGCCTCGTCACACAACGTTGGCCGAAGTAGGTTCAGACTGGAAAAAGGCTCGAGGCGACCACACTAAAACATAACATCAATGTATGAAGTCTTTGATTGTTGATTTGAATGATGTGGGGTGATGCAGACTAGCCGGTTGGGGTCCACGGGACAAGAGAAACCAGTGAGTGATTGGAGACTAGGTGATATGGTTGAGGACCGAAGTCAGTGGCGCAGATGTGTACACACATTATCCTCATCTTAACTCTATACCGAATCTCACCACTTTCTCACTCTTCCTTTCTCTCTCTGTCTCTCTTTCTCTCAGAGTACTTTATAATTCTTTTGAATGAGTTTTCTTTTCTTCATCTTCCACTTCACTGCCTTTTAATTGATATACTGATATGAGGCATGGCAACTCGGATCATTACTCAGTAATGCCTGGTCCTATGTTGATTTGGATGGATGGATGGAATGCTTATATATATGAACACTAAGTTGTGTGAGGAGATTGGTTTCAGTTGTTTCTTTTGAAATCATGAATGACTTTATTCTATGTCTGCGTAGTACCGCACTGGCTTCTCTTACTTCTGTTTTAGTTTATTTTAATTCTTTCTCATTCTTCTGCTGGGCCTCTTTTTCTTGCGGTTTTGGGTGGAATCCAAGAAGGAGTTGGGGCGAATTGATGTGAGATACACTACTGTACTTTGTACGAAATGGCTTAGAATCGATATCAGGGGTGCAGATGTATCTTGTTCTTCTTCTCTTCTTACCATTTTCTACCACTTTAACTACTTTCTTCTTTATTTCTCTATCCTTCACCTTAATACTTTCTACCTCGATGTGCTGCTATGAGATGTAGCAAAATGAACCGTTTCTTAGCAATTTCAGGTTTGACGTTGATTCTGATTGACTGATTGATTACCACAGATCATATTTTATAGATACTTATGTTTGGTTAAAATCCACCTCCACTATCTGAAAATTATCCTTGGAATGCTGAGAGACACTTATCCTGCCTGATCTGATCTTGTTAAAAATAATCTTAAAACTATCAGGAAAGAGATTGTTTTCTCCATCGATATAGGATTGCTTATTCATTGTGTAAAATTTAGATAGCTACTAATTAGTGCATATTGTTTTGCGCTGTATTTTGGTGGTTACACCTTCGTTAACAGGTTTTTATGATTGGTATATGTGAAAATTATTTAGAAGTGCGACTTGGTTCTCGTTTTATTTAGATTAATTTACTTATTGTTATTCTTTGCAATGCTGCCATCTTGGAAGATAACTTTTGTGGTAGACTATTGTTTTACTCTGTCATTGTAGCCGTTTTTTTTAACGAAAAAGCTGAAAAAAGTTAAGCCTTAGTATTTTTTGTTGAGTATTGACAAAAGTAGTCGAGTGAGTGAATGAATGAAGCTACACACGTTCATTGATTGAAGTTGTTTTAACATGTCTATCGGACACTAAACTATTGTTTATATGTCCTTTTCATTAGAAAGGTGATATTGAGCTGTACTTTGTTGAGGAGACTCAGTATTCATTGTATTCAAGTTAAGTTTATTGCATACAATAAATATATTTTTAACGCACTTTGAGTAGAAAGTTGCCTAGTTGATTGTATGGTTCACTTTTGCGTACTCTAACTTCTGTATGATGCTATCCGAGAGAACCGTAATCAATGTCCTACCCACATCCTCTTTGCCGACTCATTAACATGAGGCGTTTTTGAAAGATTGATGTCATACTTCTTTTGTACACAATAATAAAAGCTGTTTAAATTCATCTCTTGCTAGTGTAAATACATAAAGCTACTGGCGTACCATTTCGCATATTTTCTTGAAACGGGAACGATGTATCTAACGAAACTAGTAACTTCTAAGAGATATCTCGACCATTAGCAGATGTTAGTTGGTTGGAGGTAATCGGCAGGAAACCCTGGACGTAGGTTTCGTGCTTTTTGGCACTCGTCAGCAAGGCGTATCTGCAACCTCGACGGAACTCATGTCCCGCCTGGGACTCGAACCCCGCGCCACCCAGTGTTGTAGTCAGCGACTATTACCAATGAGCTATTTGGGCCGCGATTGACTTCCTGTAGAACTGGCTTACATGTATTGATTGGTCACGGGAGTGCAACCAATTTCATGTTGTCTAGTCCTCAGTACAGACCGAATCCTATCGATCATATTTGCAATGTGACAAGATACGCCTTGCTGACGAGTGCCAAAAAGCACGAAACCTAGGTCCAGGGCTTCCTGCCGATTGCCTCCAACCAACTAACATCTACTAATGTGCACCGCGATACTGAACTTCCTAGCTTGGTTGCCACATTGCAAATATGATCGATAGGATTCGGTCCGTACTCAGGACTAGACAACATGAAATTGGTTGCACTCCCGTGACCAATCAATACATAGATATCTCGACTTTTTGACTTTTCTTCATATTGATAGGTATCTTTCATGCAGCTAATTTTGTGCAAATCGGTTTTAAAGGTTTAACCAACCTACGCCTTAGTTAGGCAGATTGCGAATCAATCACAGATGATATTAATCTCACTCAAGTATTACGCTTATGCACCTTCGATGAGTCATGGAGATACACTGGCCGTGTTCTATGAACTGGCATTTTAATCAACTTTCTGTTTGGTTTTCAATTCAAAGAGTTGACAACTTAAATTTCCTAATTGTCTCTTTGTAACTATTCTGCTATTCAACAAAACAATAAAAAGACATAAATTATCTGAACCGTGTAATATGTTTGCGCAACACATCGCAAACAATCTGATCAGTCACACATGTACTTGTCATAGATATTACTTATATAAAAATTCATAAAGAGATAATGGGTGAAAATATGAAAGACTGAATTAAAGACCAAATAACATTGGGAATCAATAAAGCAAAGATCATAAATGGTACATCGAACTTCGTTTCAGAGTTGAATTCACCAAGAAAGATTCAATGTGATAGCAAATTGTTTTGAAATACATGAAGGTGGTTTAAAATTCCTGTTAGCTAAGGCCTAAACACGTTTTGTAAGTAGGCCTACAGTAAGTTGAATTACCTGAACCTATAAACGTTAGTAGCAGACGTCTAAGTTCTTCGATTGCAAAATATATCGTTGAGACAAGTCACAGAATTGACGTAGCTACTTTCTTTAGGTTTATTTACAAAACGTGTTGAGGAAGGATCCTTAAATTTGTTTAGGCCTTAGCTAACAGGAAGTTTTAACCACCTTCATGTATTTCAAAACAATTTGCTATCACATTGAATCTTTCTTGGTGAATTCAACTCTGAAACGAAGTTCGATGTACCATTTATGATCTTTGCTTTACTGATTCCCAGTGTTATTTGGTCTTTAATTCAGTCTTTCATATTTTCACTCCTTATCTCTTTATGAATTTTTATATAAATATCTACTGCATTGCACTTAGCTACCTTGTGCACATCCATGAAGTAGGCATTGAGCCATATTTAGTGCTTGAAGGCTAGTGACTGTTCAAACCTTGGTAGGCGGAATGGGGCTCGAACGTGTGACCGAATGATTAGTAGCCACAGCTCCAAATGTCATAGGTATAAATACTTATGATAAGTACGTGTGTGACTGATAATCAGATTGTTTACAATGTGTTGAACAAATATATTACACGATTCAGACAATTTACGTCATCTTATTGTTTTGTCGAAGTTTATACAGGAAACTAATTATTTTACATATTCTGTTGTTACATTTTCTATGGATACAAAATTCAGACCAAATAAAAATGTTTTTCCTAGTTGATTTGATTTAATTTTAAACTTACAATGAAAAATCTCTTTTGATAGCTTTGGATAGAGTTTCTCAAATTTCCTGAATTTTTTCGACTGGACTCCTTCATTGAAGTTGATGAAACCTGAAACCTAGAAAAACAACATATAAAAATTTGAATTAACATTACTATTCTACTTGTAACTGGAATGAATAGGTTAGATAGTCGAACCTTTGGATTTTTTTTTGTATTAGCGTAGATAGACAGATGAGATAAACGTAGAACCTGGCATACAAGTGCATCAGTTCAATTTGCCACACTTCAAAGCAGTATTTAAAGAACCAACGGATAGAAAAAGAGTGATATCAAAGCAAAGTAGACAAATTTGTATGAGAGAATAAACAATTAGAATGTTAAAGTTCTAAAAGACATCAAGTTGTCAATACATCTGCACCATTGTTTCCTATCATCTTGGAGACCCTAACCAGACAATCTACGTCTCCTTACACGACTCAGACTAGCAGTCAGGGACTTCACTGACTGATACCACGTCTTGGTCTGACCACCCTGAAACCTCTTCCAACTTAATCTAACTTCCCCTACCATTGCACGTTAAGGTAGGCGATGGCTTGCCATGAACATGTCCTAGTCATCTCAATCGGCGTATGTTCACAACCGACTTGCCTTTCTTGCCTAATATCCTTTCCCTGACCTAAACATTGAATTAGAGCAAGGAGGGAGGTGAGGAATTGGTAGAAGAGTATAGTTCTCTATGCATCGTGAAGATACTCTGTTCTTCCTTTAGTTTCAAGAAAATATACCTTTTAGGTATCAAGATTCTTACCGAATATCTTATCAGATAGACTGATATCGATCAGTCGCTTTCACTGACATTTTCTTGTTAAACTAAGTTAGATTTTCTGAAGAAGAATTATTGGTAGATGACAACG